CCGACGCGGCGGCGCCCGACGCGCAGGCCGACCGGCTCACCGTCTACCTGGTGGTGGCGCTGGCCGCCGTGTCGTCGCTCTTCCTCCTGTCTGCGCTGGCCTTCGTGGCGGCGCGTGTGTGCGCGAGGAGCGGCGCGGCGGCGCGGGGAGGCTCGCCGGGGCCCGAGGGCCACTTCCCGGGCCACCTGGTGGACGTCAGCGGCGCCGGGACGCTGTCCCACAGCTACCAGTATGAGGTGTGCCTGACGGGAGGTACTGGGACCAGTGAGTTCAAGTTCATCAAGCCCATTCTCCCCAACTTCCCTCCCCAGGATCCTGGGAGGGAAGTGGAGGAATACCCCAACCTTCGGAATAGCTTCCCATTCAATTAAATATTGTACTATTCTACTAGGCCCTACTTAGTAAGATTAGAAATCTCTTTTAATTTAAAATTACATGTTATTGGTGCATGCTATTGAAGGTCTGTTCCTTGATTATTTTACTACTCCTCTTTATGGTCAAACATTAGTCATACACAATATTTCCCCATTAATGTGTCCAGTTTTTTTTTTAAGTTGCTCTTACTCAAGTTCATTCAAAAATGAGAATAAAAATTAAATTTTACTTGCACTATTTCAACATTTGCTTTCAACCATCTAGTCTTTCAAATTTCATAAATAAATTTTTATCTCTAACTTTTACTGACAATTGTCATGATATTGTTATATATAGAGAAGTATTTTTCAATGTGGATGATATTTAATCTATCATCATAAGTCTTATTTGGTGGTGACTTCTTCAATGTGAAAAACTAATGATAACTGGTAATGAAAAGTTAAGGGTAATGACTAAATGCTAAGATAAACTTTCACATACATGTGTATTTCAGTTACCACAATGGCATGCACATATTTTTATGAATATACACATTAATAGTATCAGCATGTTAATTTAGTTTGTGGGCCTCATGTAAGAATACAATGGTCTTTTAAAAAATACACCCAGCCCATCAGAAATGTTGACAAATATTTTCTGGATTTTATTAACATTCCAATAAGAAATTTAGAATAATTTTTGAGGGCAATAATATCTCTACAATATAGTATCCTTGCAAGCAAACATACACTATTACTTTCCTTCTATACAGAAAATATTCTCAATCACTTTAAACTCTACTACAGGATATATAATGGTGGATAATATTTTATCTTCTTGTCTTTGTCTAATAATTTTAGAGTTCAAATGTATTTGATGAAATCTAAGTTGAGTTTTTCAAATTTCTCCTCCTAGTTTCTTAAGCTTTGACATGTGTGTTACCTGCTAAGTTATTTGAACAGGCTCTTTGGTAGTGTCATATTTTCCCTTCTAGACCTGCAGATTTATGTTTATTAACCATAAAATCATTTATTTGCACCATGTAATCCATGTTTGGTCTTACTTGTGCTAGTTATATTTACATTATTTTATTAAAAAATTCCTCTTTTCAATTTCTTGGCAGTCAATTTATACAATACTGATAATTCAGTGAATATTTTTATCTTTAATTAAAATGAAACTGGGCGTCACTATATTTGGCTGAGCTGTGTCTAGTAGGTAACCTGTCAAGACCCTGTCACAGAGCATTGCTACCTGGGTCCATGAGTGCGGGGAACCCATATGGTTACTCTGTGCTTCTGGAGTAGCATTGTCACTTTGGGAAATGCTTCTCATGCAGTTCTCACCCCAACCACATGACTTGTAATATTTTTTAATAACTCCATCTCCATAGTCCCAGAGGATGTATAACAAGCACATTTTCAACTTCACTGACTTTATCACCTTCATGCTTATAGAGAAATGTTGTCTGAATTATGAACTTATATTGATTTCTAGTAGAACAAATGCCCATCTCCTCTAAATTTTCTGTGTTTTGCACACACACAAAATTTATGGAAGATAGAAGTTTCAGGGCCTATGTAGTCCAGAGACTGACCCTCCAAAATCACTACTGTCTCCCCAGCAATTACAGGCACATTGTAATTTGCTTGGTAGTAGAAACTGTCTTGGAAAAAATCATAACAATAGGACAAGTTAGTATTTTAAAATAGAATGTAAGGTCCCTGACAGTAAAAATTTTGTTTATCATTTTATCTTTAGAGGTTAGGGAGAACTCTGCACAGATAACTACTTGTTAAAGAGTAAATGAGTTTGCCTTTAAATGAATTTTGTGTACTGATTAACAACTTTATAAGGAAGATGAATATAAGTTATTATTATTTTCTTTCACAACTTGTTAACTACCTTAACAAGACTGTGTAGTGGGTCAGGGGAGGGGCAGGGAGATTTTATAATGCTCAGTGACCCCCAAAGTGCTTTTGATTATCATGGACACATGGTCCTTAGAAATGAAAATTGCCTGAAATTGCACAACAGAACGCTTGGTGGCGCCGTAGACTAAGAGAATGGAAACCTGCTGAGTAATTTCCCCGCAGCTCTCAAAGGAAGTATTTTACACACAGGGGCTAGATTTCAAAGAGGTAGCTACCCTTCTGTTAGTGTTAAGGTAAATTCACTCAGAATTACTGAACCAAAATAGCAGTGTTCGCTGCGAAGCAATTTCTTTAATTAAATACTGTATCTTTTGGAACTGGAGGAAATATGGAGACACAGCTACATAAAGCACAGCAGAAAAGGCAAGTGATCGCCATTATCATTCTGTTACTACTGTGGGAGGCGGGCGGTGAGACCATTAAGTATTCGATTCTAGAAGAGAGGGACAGTGGTTCTTTTGTGGCCAACCTAGCAGAAGATCTGGGGCTTGGCTTAGGGGAGCTGGCTGCACGGGGTGCCCGAATTTTTTCCAAAGGAAATAAACAGCATTTGCAGCTGGAGCAGAACAGTGGGCATTTGCTTCTTAAAGAAAAATTGGACCGGGAAGAGTTGTGCGGTGACACGGATCCCTGTGTATTGCATTTCCAGGTGTTACTAAAAAACCCGGTAAAGTTTATTCAAGGTGAATTACTGCTCCACGACATAAATGACCACGCACCAGAATTCTTGGACAATGAAATCCTCCTGAAAATCTCGGAAAGCAGCCATACTGGTACTGCATTTCCTTTGAAAATAGCTCAAGATTTAGACGTGGGCAGTAATACAGTTCAGAACTACACAATTAGTACCAACTCTCATTTCCATCTTTTCACTCGTAATCACAAAGATGGCAGGAAATACCCAGAGCTGGTGCTGGACAAAACTCTGGACCGGGAGGAGCAGCCAGAGCTCAGATTAACCCTCACTGCGCTGGATGGTGGGTCTCCACCCAGAACTGGGACTTCCCAGGTCCTCATCTTAGTCCTAGATATAAATGACAACACCCCGGAGTTTGCTCAGCTGTTCTATGAAGTGCAGGTTTCAGAAAACAGCCCCATTGGCTCCCTTGTTACTTCAGTCACCGCTCGAGACTTAGATGCTGGGTCCTATGGACAGCTGTCATACTCATTTTTCCAATCTTCAAATCAAATCACTCAGGCTTTTGAAATAAACCCAGTCACGGGGGAAATTCGATTAAAAAAAGTATTGGATTATGAGGAAATTCAAACTTACCTTCTGGAAATTGAGGCTTCAGATGGTGGGGGCCTTTCAGGAAAATGCACGGTAGCCATAGAAGTAATGGATGTGAACGACAATGCCCCTGAGCTAACCGTGTCATTACTCATAAGTGATATTCCAGAAAACTCCCCGGACACCGTGGTCGCTATTTTCGGGATTTCAGATCCAGATTCCAGAAACAATGGCAAAATGATGTGTTCCATCCAGGACCATCTCCCCTTCCGTCTGAAACTTACAGCAGAAAACTTCTACACCGTAGTAACTGAAGGGGCTCTGGACAGAGAAAGCCAGGCCGAGTACAACATCACCATCACGGTCACGGACATGGGCACCCCCAGGCTGCAGACTCAGCACAACATCACCGTCCTGGTGTCCGACGTCAACGACAACGCCCCCGCCTTCAGCCAAAGCGCCTACACGCTGCTGGTGCGCGAGAACAACAGCCCCGCCCTGCACATCGGCAGCGTCAGCGCCGCCGACGCCGACGCGGGCACCAACGCCCAGCTCACCTACTCGCTGCTGCCCGCCCCGGCGACGCCGACGCGGGCA